AAAAAAAAAAAATATATATATATATATAAACCCATTATCCACTTTTTTTTTTTTTTTTTTTTGGCTGCGTTGGGTCTTCATTGCTGCGCGCCGGCTTTCTCTAGTTGCAGTGAGCAGGGGCCACACTTGTTTGCGGTGCGCGGGCTTCTCACTGTGGCGCACGAGCTTCAGTAGTTGTGGTGCCGGGGCTTATCCGCGGCATGTTGGACCTTCCCGGACCAGGGATTGAACCTGTGTCCCCTGCATTGGCAGGCGGATTCTTAATCACTGCACCACCAGGGAAGTCCCCCGTTTTCTACTTTTTAAAAGTGCATACATGTATTTAAGTACATAAACAAAACACATAAGAGCAGAGTCATTATCTTTCTCATCCGTGGTCTGTCCCCCTTCCCCCCAGGACGTTTGGTCATGTCTGGAAACATTTGGGCTGTCACAACTGGGGAAGGGGGTTGTTACTGGCATCTAGTGGATTAAATCCAGAAATGCTGTTCAACATTCTACTATGCACAAAACAGACCCCACAACAAAGAACTTCAGGACCTAGATGTCAATAGTGCTGAGGCCAAGAAGCCAGCCCTGTGTAGCCCAGCGCCCAGCACAATCTTGCTGAATGAATGAATGGAGAGATGATGGTGGCCTGAACTGGCTGGTAGCAGTGGGACTACAGAGACACAGTAGGATTCCCGTACATTTTGGAGGTGTGTCCAGCAGAATTTAAGGCGACAGTCCCTCTCTTTCCAGGAGGAGATGTGCTCTGCCCTTGCCTGGCCCTGGGCACATCTCACTCATCTGCAGCCTCCAGCTGTGCCCTCCAGCCCCACTTGCCGCCCCCTCAATTTTCGAACTCCTCTGAGCTGCCAGGAAGCCTGCAAGGAGTAAGGCAGTCTGGTTCCTGCAGGCAAAGAACTTTGCTTGGCGTTTGAATCGCCAGGGGCCTGCGGAGCGGAAACCGCAGACCACAGAAGGGCCGGGAAGGCTTGGGACGCGGTGTGGGGAGGGGCCCGGGCTAGGAGGTGGCGATTGGAAGGGTGGGGAATGCTTGGGGGAGGAGGAGTGGATTTAGAATCCTGTGAGAATGATGAGGGTGGGATTAGGATCCTCCTGAAAAGGTTTAGAATCCTTTGATAGGTGCCATCAGAAACCCTGGAAGGCAGGGATGGAATATTTGGATGCGCCGGATTAGAGCCCTGGGGGGCGGATTAAAATCCTATGGGAACATGTTGGGATCGCTCAGGAGAGAGATTAGAATCCCTAGGATTAGGGTAATAAATCCTGAGGGCTGGGTTAGAATGTTTTCAAGAAAAGGGTTAGGGGCTTCCCTGGTGGCGCGGTGGTTGAGAGTCCGCCTGCCGATGCAGCGGACACGGGTTCGTGCCCCGGTCTGGGAAGATCCCACATGCCGCGGAGCGGCTGGGCCCGTGAGCCGTGGCCGCTGGGCCTGCGCGTCCGGAGCCTGTGCTCCGCAACGGGAGAGGCCACAGCAGTGAGAGGCCCGCGTACCGGGAGAAAAGAAAAAAAGAAAAAAGAAAAGGGTTAGTATCCTTCCGTTGGCAGGATTAAAATCCTGGGGCCAGAATTAGAAATCTCCGGTAGGCGAGGTTAAAATTCCTTCAGATGTGAGATTCAAAATCCTTTAGGGCAGAATTAAGATCTCAGGAGGAGGAGATGAGGTGTTGGGGATCTCGGAAGGGTGGGGTTTAGAATCCTTTAGGGCAGGATTAGGGCGATGGGAGGCAACGTTAGAATACATTGGGGGAGGTGTTAGGTTATTTGGGGGTTAGGACCTTTGAAGGACCGGTTAAAATTCTTGGGGGCGGGGTTATTATCCCTCAAGGACAAGGTTAGGATTCTTGGGGGCAGGGTTAGAAACCTTGGATGGGCGGTGTTTAAAAAAATCCTTAGGCGGCGGGATTAGGATTTTAGGAGGTGGGGACAGAGATTAGAGTCCCTGGGGTGGGGTTAGAATCTTCGGGGGCGGGTTTAAAACACTTGGGGGCGGGGTTAGCATCACTCCGGGCGCGGCTAAGGAGCCCAGATGGCCTGTGGGCGACACCGCGTCCCTGGTTCCACCCCGGGCGCACCGCCGGGAACTAGAAGCAAGTGGGAGGGACGCGGACAGTCCAGCACGAGAAGGGCCCCATAAGACGCGCGGCCCCGAAGCCCCTCGGAGCGCAGCCCCAGCCTCTTCTCGAAAGTCAGTCCATTTTCCCTAGGGCACGAGCGCCCGGGACGCCGGGGGCTGCCGAGCTGGGGGGGCGCTCGAGCTGCGAGGATCCGGGCTGCCCACGGGACGAGGAGCGGGCGCCCAGGTGAGTGCAGCGCACACGGGTTCGGGGACAGCGGCCCGTGACCCTCGGTCTGAGGGTCTTCGGGCTGCGGAGGGAACCCGGGGTGGTGAGCCGCGTAGGTTGGGTTGCCTGGGAAAGGGACCTTCGTGGGAGCGGCGGACAGGAGGTGGGATGTGGGGGCCGACCCGCGGGGGAGGGTGCCCAGATGAACAGCGGAATTGCCTGGCGGCGAGCCTGGGAAAGCTGTAGGGTGACTTTGTGCCTGAGCCACCACTTCTCTGGGCACTCCAGGTTCCCCTTTTGCAAAAGGAAAAAAAAAAAAAAAAAGGCTTCACGGAGCCCGGGAGGGGAAGGCCCTTACGGTTCCTGGTGGGGGTGGGTGACCGTCACGGTCACGGCGGGTTGGCAGCCGTAGTGGGGAAGGGGACAGCTGGCCGTAGGCGTGACGGTGCGAGCCCAGGCAGGGTTGCAGCTGGGTCAGCTCGCTGAGCTCCCTCCTTCTCCCAGCTAGGCCCTGATCCCCAGGGGGTCTAGGTCAAACCCCAAAACCTCCTGGACAGACAACAGGATGTGTAGCCCCTGACTTTCCTCCTTGTGAGAACTTGGACAAGTCACTCTCCCTCCCTAAATTCCAATTTCCTAATCTGCCAAAGAGGGCTACTAAGTCTTTCTTCCAAGGCTGCAGTGAGCTAGAATATGTTAGAGGTCATGTAAGTGACAGTTTAGTGTAGTGGTTAGGTAAAGGGTTTCTGGGAGCAACCTGCCTGTTGGACCTTGGGCAGCGGATTTAGCCTTTCTGTGCCTCCATTTCCACAACTGTAGAATGTGGATAATTAAAATATGGCTCCTTCATAGGGTTGTTTTGAAGATTAGATTGAGTTGCTGAAGGAACGCTCTTAGAGAACTGACAGGTCTAATTGCTTAATACGGGTTAACTATTGCCATAGCTATTACAGTCTAGCCCGGTGATTCTCATATTTTAGCAGAACAACAGAATCATCTAGAAGGCTTGTTAAAACACAAATTTCTGGGTCTTGACCCCAGAGTTCATGACTCCGTAAGTCTGACACCGGACCCCAAGAATTTGCATCCCCAGGTGATACTGATGCTGCCTGTCCCGGGGACACACTTTGAGGACCACTTTGGCCATCACAGAGAAAGCCCTCAATAGATACTGGTTCTCTTCACTGCTTTATTTTCACTATCCTTTTTTTTTTTTTGAGGGGGATGAGGTTAAAATACAGAAAAGTGAAGAGAATAATATACTAAATATCCCAGGAACCCACCACCCAGAATTAACAAATGTTCACATTTTGTCCTGTTTGCTTCAGTTTTTTAAAAAATAATATTACTAAAAGTAACAGTTAAAATTGAAGCCTCCCCACCTTGTATCCCTCTCAGTTCTGTTTCTCTTCCTCCCCAGAGGCAACCTCTGTCATGAATTACGGTGCTTCCTGTCTGTGCCTTTAAAAAATGTATTACATATATGTGGGTACATAAACAATACATAAAATTGTTTTTCGTGTTTTAAGGATCTACATAAATGCTATCTAACTGTGTGATTCTTCTGCAGTTTCATTTTCCCTTGCCTTCTTATCATTAAGTTGTTAGGGTCTAGCCAGGATAAGAAACAGAGCTCTAGTTTATTCCTTCTAAGGGGAGGATCCCAGCAGGGGACCATCCTGCCTTACTTCTCATTCCCCTGGTGATGAACATACAGGTTATTCCATGGGTTCACGACAACACACAATACTGCTGGGGCCAGCCTGGATGTGTGGTCTTGGGTGCATGTACAGGTGTTTCTAGGGGGAAACACCAAGAGGCTGGATGGCTCTCCCGAGGGGCAGCTTTTGCGTATGAGGAGGACTGAGGCATGAAAGGGTCACCCAGGGAGTCTGGGGCAGAGAAGAGAGAAGAAAGAATCTGGCTCTGCTGACCTTCCAGCTCTTTCTAGACCCAGGGCCACTGTCGCCTGTTCTCTGCTGCAGGAGGGCAAAAATCTTCATTTGTCTCGTTCACTATGACTGACACTTAGTAGATGCTGAAGAAGTGGAAGCATGAAACTTTTGCTGTTGTTTGTTTTTTGTTTGTTTTTTTGACCACACTTCGCAGCTTGTGGGATCTCAGTTCTCCGACCAGGGATTGAACCCCGGCCACAGCAGTGAAAGCACTGAGTCAGGGAATTCGGGGAGTCAGGGACGGTCCACTGGACCATCAGGGAATTCCTGGAACATGAATCTTTAAAAAAAATTTTGGATAACAAACATTTTAGCTTATTTTTATAGTCTTCTTTTTTGTGCACATTTTATTTAACATAATTAGTAAAATGCTGCATGTACAATTTGTAACCCACTTGTTTACTTAGTATTACATTGTAAGCATTTTTCCATGTCATTAGAACATCCTCGAATTCTGAATGGCTGAATAATATTCCACTGTTTGGAGGCACCATAATTTGTTTAACCATCCTAGCAAAGCACTTTTATGTAGTTTGTAATTTTTAAAACTATTTTTAGATGAACTTCGCATAACATTATAAAATTAACCATTTTAAAGTGAACAATGCAGTGGCATTTCGCACGTTCACAGTGTTGTGCAATCAGCACCTCTGTGTAGTTCCAAAACATCTTCGTCATCCCAGAAGGAAACGCCATACGTTAAGCAGTTACTCTGTTCCTCCTTCCTCTCAGCCCTTGGCAGCCACCAACCTGCTTTTTTGTATCGCTGGATTAACTTATTCTGGATATTTCATGTAAACGGAATCACACAAAGCCACACCTTTTGTGACCGGCTTCTTTCACTTAACGTAATGTTTTCAAGGTTCATCCAGTTAAATACTGACACATTTAATTCCTTTTATGGCTGAATAGTATTTCATTGTATGTATGCGTTACAATTTGTTTATCCATTCATCTGTAGATGGAAATTCAGGTTGTTTCCACGTTTTGACTATTGTGAATGGTGCTGCTATGAGCATGCATGTACATATATTTGAGCACCTGTTTTCAATTCCCTTGGGTATATACTTAGGAGTTGAATTTCTGGGTCATATGGTAATTCCATGTTTAACTTTGGAGGAATCGCCAGACTGTATTCCACTACTTTATATTCCCATCAGCAATGTACAAGAGTTCCAATTTCTCCACATTGTGGCCAACACTTGCTATTTTCCTTTTTAAAAAATTATTATTAGAGGGCTCCCCTGGTGGCGCAGTTGTTGAGAGTCCACCTGCCGATGCAGCAGACACGGGTTCGTGCCCCGGTCTGGGAAGATCCCACATGCCGCGGAGCGGCTGGGCCCGTGAGCCATGGCCGCTGAGCCTGCGCATCCAGAGCCTGTTGCTCCACAACGGGAGAGGCCACAACAGTGAGAGGCCCGCGTACCGCAAAAAAAAAAAAAAAAATTATTATTAGAGCCATCCTAATGGGCGTGGGAAGCATGAATCTTAATCTCACCCCAATCAGGATGCTCTGTGGGGCCCCTTACCCCAGAGGGTGAGGAGAAAGTTGTCTGAATTCAGAGGACTGGTCAGGGCTTGGACTTTAAACTATTTTAGAAGTTAAGTCCCATGAGGGCACAGACATGTCTGTCTCCTAAACTACTGTATCTCTAACACCTGGCACCTGGCACATAGTAGGGCCTCTCAAAAATACGGAATTGAGGGACGTTGAACAGTCCCTCCCTCCCTTGCCTAGGAGGTATTTCAGCAAGTAGGCGTATTTCAATTGACCCCACAAAGTGATTCTTTTTAAATTAGTTGCTAACATTTAAAGTCAAGAGAGCTCACATAAATCTGGATTTCTGTCTTCTCTTGAAAAACTGGAGGAGCTGACAGCCCTGGGACTAGAACCCCAAGATTCTAGACCAATCTCCTGTACTCCCCTGCTATTGACTCATGGTAGCGTTGGTGATGCTGAATGGGGCTGCCCTGTAGACTGCCCCTGAGCTGTCCGGTTTGCGGCACCCTTGCCCGGACCACCTTCCTCATGTGGATGGCCTTTGGGCCCCTATAGTCACTTGAGTTTTCAAGCCCAGCCCTCCAATCATGACAAGGCCTCCCTTTAAATAGAAAAGAAATGTCAGGCCCAGAGAGGGTAAGTAACTTTCCCAAAGTTACACACAAAGTTAGTAGTACAATCTCTCTTAGCCTCTGTCTTTCTAAGCAAACCCTCACAGCACATTTTTTTTTAAGTCTTTATTGAATTTGTTACAATCTTTGCTTCTGTTTTCATGTTTCCGTTTTTTCGCCACGAAGCATGTGGGATCTTAGCTCCCCAACCAGGGATCGAACCCGCACCCCCTGCATTGGAAGGCAAAGTCTTAACCACTGGACCGCCAGGGAAGTCCCCCTCACAGCATTTTGATCCCCATCCCATTTCTCCGGTTTCCTCCACCCCAGGACTGGGAGTTTTAGTGTACTTTCAGAGGCAGGGGTAATGATACAGAAGAAACCCTTGCTTGGATGTAAAACGTGCCCCGTTCTTGGCAGTGGCTGTGGCCATACATGCTGCACCCTCTGGATGGCACTGCACAGGGGCTTGCATTCCTAATCCTGCCCTATGACACCTGCCCGAGCTCCCACCATCACCATGAAATCCTTTGGTCCAGGAGACTTAGGTGCAACCAAGAGAACAGGTTGCTCTGCCAGAGCAGTGAAGCACAGGAGACGGAGCACAGGAGACCTGAGTTTGAGCGCTGACATTGCCTCATACAAGTCGTGATGCATCAGGCAAATTCCTTCACTCTCTGAGTCTCAATTTCCTCATCTAAAAGATGGGAATAAGAATACTGCCTCATGATGCGTGCAGAACAGTATTCCTTTGATGTGAACACACACAAAAGATACTCCATATTTTCTAGAGGCGTATATGTCTCAGATTGAGTTGGCCCAGAAGCAGACCATAGAAAAGATTTCAAATGCATTTACTATTTAGTTTATTTGGGAGCAGATCCCAGAAAACCCTGGTAGGAGAGTGGGGAAGCAAAACAAGGAGAGAAGGCAGCCAATCAAGGTGTGTTA